AGCTGGAAAGAAAAGAGAATAAATATTACACAGCTTTGTGTTAATAATGGTATCTGGCCAAATACACACACAAACAATGCACATTAGCTCACAAATCAATTATTGTATATTAGTTTGTTTACTAAGTCTAACTGCTGAACTGTAGTGTGAACTCTGAAAACCTGATCTGTCAGCTGTATTTCTTATTGATATATGTCTCTTTTTCCAGAGACTGAGACTATGAAGACTGATTCATTTCTCCTGTGGTCAGTTGGTTCGGTGCCAGTGTGCATTTTGATAATATGTATTATAGTCTTTATGTACTGCAAGTGTAAAAAAGGTATGTCCAAGTTGCCTCACATAAATTCTCTATGAAAAACTGATCTCTGTTCACCAATTTGATAAATTAATTACTTTTGTAAAGTAATTAAAAAGAATGATGGTGCTATTTCTTCTTAGTCAATTGTAATATTGTAGAAAACTGTGTTCTTCCACTTTTAAAAATGATTGTATCTACAGAATATGCTCTGATCAGATCATTTATACATCCTTAGTAGTAACCAGTTAGTAACCAACAAGTAAAGATCTTTAAGAACAATATTTATCTTAAACAGTACATTCTAATTTTTGCCGTTTAGAACTTAATTTTTAGATTCCATATTCACCACAACTCAACCCATCCTGTTCAGGTTTAAATGTCACAATGTTTTGTAACTATGATGAGGACAGAAACATATTTGTTATTTGCTGGTGCCAAAAAAATAAGGAATAGCAAACAATCATTCAATAATATTGAGAATAAGTAGTAAAAGCAAAACAAATGCAACAAATTCATAACTACTAAAGTTTTAGGTATAAACAGAAGAGATTACTGCTGCTTATTTTGTAATTAAACCTTCTCAAGAAAACACTGATATGCAAAATCCTGAATGAATCTTCATTTATATGAAATGTTTTACACTACACCTTCTGTTTTCAACTGAGTACATGAGGAAAGCCTCAGATGCTGAAGTTCCACAACATAAAACTAAAGAAACTCAGTTTAGAGCAGTTTGTAATTAACAGTCAATATAAAAAAATATCTTCTGTTCTTACTAAACCACATGCTATTTTTTTTTAGATGCATATATGAACATATTCTTTATTATGTGATAAGTCTTAATATTAATATATTGCTGTACATTCTAAACCTCACAGGTGCCCAGGAGGAGGTAGTAGAAGGTAATACAGTCTATGCTCTTGTTGAGGTAAGCTTCAAATTACTGTTCATCATTAAGCTCACAGACATCATTGATATGTTGTCATGTAGTATAGTTCTATTTATTTATGTCAGACATCAAAAATATTCATCTACACAAATCAGTGGCTCCCATTTTTTTCAAATCTGCTTTTTTATCTTTGTCAAAATTGTATAGCAAAATTATCACCACATATCACTTAAAAAAG